GGCCAAAGGAAGCTGATTCCACAATCTCACCGCCCTAACCACAAATGATCTCTCACCAATGGAGGACGAAAACCTTGGACACAACAATTGAGGATTTCGAGATGATCTACAAAACAAAAAGTTGTCACGAAGAGGACAGTCAAAATTGCACATAACACTGTAATGAAATTGAAGAATACGAAGATCAACGTAGCTGCTAAATGGCAATCCCAGGAGATCATTAACAAAACAAGAAACATGATCACCACGACGCAAGCCATACACATAACGAACAATCGAATTTACCGCCCTACGGATACGTTGCATTTGAGAAGAAGTAGTACCGGAGACTACCTCTAGACAATAATTTACCTGCGATAGCAGCAAGGATACAACCACTCTCTTCCTAACATGACAAGGCAAATAAGCATTAAGACAATACAGCCTCCGCAGCTGAAACCTTATACGACAAAGCAAGGAATCAATGTGTCTCTTAAAGTCCAACTTCCGATCAATTATAACACCAAGACATTTCATTTCATCAACAAATTTCACTAACACAGAACCCACAGTAATATTAAGAGAACCACCATTACCATGATCATTGAACAGCATAGCTTTAGTTTTATTCCAATTAATCATAAGGCCATTTAGCGAAATCCACGACGAAAGAGACAAAACAATAGAATTAACCAACCCTTCCAACCCAGCAATATCAGCCTCTCTGAAGAAAACATGAATATCATCTGCATACAAAAACAGACAACACCTGTCATCAACAACTGAGTGCACAATGTCATTAATGAACATAATAAATAACAACGGTCCCAGTACAGAACCTTGCGGGACTCCACATTGGACACTACAAACTTCAGACGAAACACCCAAATGAACAACAAACTGAGACCTACCTTCCAAATATGAAGCCATTAAACGACACGCAGAAGATGAAAAACCAAACTTAAACCTCAGCTTGTCAAGTAAAAGGGAATGGTTTATCGAATCAAAAGCCTTTGACAAGTCAAGGCCCAATAATAACCCAACATCAGATGAATTAAATACATCTCTGATCATGTCAGTAAGATATAATAAGTGCGTGGTCGTACTACATCGCCGCCGAAAACCAAACTGAGAACTACTCAATAGCCTACGATCATCAAGGAAGTCAACAATCGCTTCTTTAATAATATGCTCAACGATTTTTGACATAGCAGGTAGAATGCTAATGGGACGCAGATTCGGCAAATCAAATGATTCACCAGTTTTCGGCACAGGAACAATTCGTGCAACCTTCCACGCCCGAGGAAAAGTAGATGTCATAAAAATCGAGTTAACAAAATGCAGGAAATGACAGGAAATGTATGGAAATATAAGTTTAAAAAACTTTACTGGCACGCCATCAACCCCCACAGCTCCCGACTTAACTTTATTTAATGACCTTACAACATCAGAATAAAATATGCAATAAAACCGAAAAACATCATCTCCCACATGACCCTCACTATAAAGAGACTGACCACGCTCACCCACAAAACCAGGATTCCCACTGGAAAAATAATGATTAGCAGCATTGACATCAATTGGTGGAGCTTCATTATCACTACCCAAAACACCAAACGACTTTAGAGATTTCCACAGCTGATTATTATTCATACGACCAAAGAGATCATTATAGTACTTACGCCTCTCATTCCTCATCACAGCCTTACAACGATTCCTATACATACAATATATTATTCTATTACCCTCCATAGGTCGCTTGCGCCACTCAAAGTACGCAAGATCTCTAAACATCCGTGCCGATTTTACCACATCAGATTCCAACCATGCATCATTCCTGGGGTTGACCTTACGAACAGAAACAGGAACGAAAGACAATAGCGCGTTAAACAACAAATCAAATAGTGAAAGTTGACAATTCACATCAGAAGTGGAATATAAGGGGTTGAAGTCAAAATCGGATATGAAATTTAAAATGCCCAACCAATCCGCTCGGCCAAAGTTACGATACTCAATAAATCTCTCCTCTGAAAATACAGGCAGGTTAAGCGAACCAAAAACAAAGGCATGGTGCGATATACCAGGACATCGACCCTGAGATGAGAAACCCAAGGACAAATTATCACTAGTAAGGCAAAAATCAATTAACGAGGTAGAGTTATGGGCCAAATCATAATGGGTAGGTTTCATGTTATGCACAATAGTTAGCCCCAATGATCTGCATAATCCTCTCATCGAAACAGAGTTCGAAGACACAAATAAATTACAGTTAAAATCGCCAAGGACAATGATATTAGAGAAGCGATCAAACAAACTCTCATGTACATCACAGAAAGACTGAACATCGCCATGGGGAAGATATACTACCGCCACAAGCAAAACCAATGCCCCAATATTCAACTCAACACACACCGACTCACAAACACCAAAATTATTTGAGCGAAAAACTACCTTATAAGGAATGCCACTACCAATATAGAGACATACCCCACCACCAACACGACCAACACGATCACTCCGCACCAGCTTATATCCTGGAACAACCAACGATTTCGATGAGACTGCAGAATTAAGCCAAGATTCAGTGACACCAAAAATGCTGATACCACTACCAACCAGCAAGGATCGAAGCTCATCAATTTTATTATTGAATCTCGATGGGCGAATACTTTGGCAGTTCAAGTGGCCATACGTTAGTTTACCAGACAAACCCTCAAATAAGGGTTTAAAAAAGTGAGCGTCATTAATTATGGGTCCCAGATTATCATCAAGTGACATCAAACCAAATAAAGGGGCTGGGGAGCAAAATTATGTAAATTCGATTTCGCATCTTAAACTAAAAATTGAAAAATATAAATATATAAATAAAAAAAAATAAATAATAAATAATAATATGAAAGATTATTTAGAACAAATAAGCAATAATTTGCATCAAGAAAACAATTAAATTGCCAATGAGATCAAAACAAAATTAATATTTACATTACATGACTACACTCCCAGCAGCATATCACCAACCAACGGAGCACCACCCGGTTGCAGAGGACAACTACGAGCAAATTCAAGAAGCTCTTGTCGCTCAAAAATTGTTTTACTTCCATCAGCAAGTATTACCTCAACTTGAGGTTCATCACTATTTAACAACCTGAATTTCTTAATCTTCTTCTTCTTGAGCAGGCCTCTGCAGGCAAAAACAAGACTAGATGCCGATTTAACAAGATGATCATTTAAGTAGATACGGGACTCCAATAGACAATTCTCCATAACTTCTTTTAGGGTTACCTTCCCTCTTTTAACAAATCGGCGGATAAGGGAATCTCTTGTCTGAATAGAATTAAACTTCACCAAAACCGCTCTACGTTCAGATATGTAACAGCACTGCTGCATGTCGCCATGAGATAGTTGCAACCCACACAAATTAGCAACTTTAACAACAAAGCTCCTGAGGTCTTTAATATTTTCCGGCAAACCTCTTATAATGATATCAGCTCTGTTAAGCCTTCGCTGGAGCACATTGTTAAAAGACTCAAGCTCAGAAATCCTATCAGCAAGTTTCTTTTCTGCTAACAAAGCCGTACTTTTAACTTCAGAGACTGTCATCTTCAACTCAACTACAGCCTTTTTAAGCTCAACCACATCACGCTTTACCTCAGATATTTGTGCATTATAAAGATCAAACAGAGCATCAGTTTTGGTACGGAATTCAGACAGACATCTAGCCATATACGTGTCCATTTGTTGTTTCATAGACAAAATCAAGTTATCCTGCAGCTCTCGCAGAGCATCTGAATTCCCAACAAAATCACACGCAGCCACACCAACTGTCTCATCACCACCATTCAAAGAAGCATCAGCTGTGGCACCAACCCTAGATGCATCAACTGCAGTGTTCGCTTTTGTTCCACGATCAACCACACCAGCGTCACCACTACCACCAGCAGCCCGAACACAGCACACACAAGTGTATCTGAGTTGCTTATTTATTTTAGCCTCAGCCTCAGAAATGCCAACGCAATCCAAATGGAAAAAATTTGCACAGCCTTTGCAACCAATTTTATATTTGGATTTGGCAATATGATCCTTACAAACATTACAGGTCAATAGCGACGGCATTTTCAGGATTACCTTGGCAGATGCAAATGAATAAAAAAAAAAGAGCGCCAAACGAAAATGCACAGCAACAGGTTAAAAAGGTGAGAAGAAAAACCAACTCCACCAAAAGCCACAGCTCCAGACCTTCAAACACCAATATCCAAAAGAAATAGTCCAGTCAATTTGTAAAAATCTCCAATTTTAAATATTTAATTATTTTCTTGACAGAGCTCAAATTTAATGCTTGTTCATTGCAGGGATCTATAGTTCGATCTCCTAATGCGAAGAAGTTTCGCAGTTGACATCAATCTGCATGGATTTGGCAAAATACATAACACTTCTTCATGGTTTCCCCTCCTATTTCCAATTTTAAAATTACTTCATCCAGAAATTCTCCCATTAGCTTCCTATGGAACATCTAAAAGGAATTATATGGTCTGTTCCAGAACAGCAAAAAAGTACAAGTTTTTACTACGATTTTCCCTTTATGATATCCATGGTAGAATCAAAGAAGGTTAAGTCATTTCAAATAAGCATGCCCATCTTTGCATTTTCTGTAATTTACCTTGTCAAAATTTACTGCATAGAAATCATGTTCTCATCTTCGACTATGTACAATGGATTTATAAATAACCATTTTGACAATGAGATTGATTTTATTGAACCATGGTTCCATCATCTTTATAACGAAAAAAAAAACAAGCATTTTATTAATTTTTTCGATATTACTGGATCGGATTGAATATTAAGAAAAATATCAAAGCAACGAAAACAATTTGCTTGTCATTTTATACCAGGAAACTTTCGTTTTTATTGAATTATCTTTATATCGATGTAAAGATCTTTATTTTAAAATTATTTTAATAAATATCATTATAAATTAAATATATGACGAAAAACGTAAAAAAACGCCAGTATATCAGACGCCGAAAGAAGAGATGAAAGTATGGAACTACTTCACATAGCTCCTTTTAGTGAATAGTATCACTGAGCTATTTTGTCCCGGAACGACACCTCTCCAAAACACTATAAATATAATGCAAATTACAATTAAAGTTTTAAAAGGACAGGATTGTAACTTGGAAGTAAGTAACGCCAAGTAGGTTCCTAATCCAATGCTAACAAACTCTAATCTTTATCGTTCAGGTTACGCCAAGTACCACAATTTACCAGGTAAAGCAAGAAATAGAGGAGAGGCTTGGCATTCCTCTGGGTTCACAAAAGATATTAATACTTGGACGCACATTAAATGATGACCAGACAATTGCATCGTATCCCAATATAAAAGAAGGAACAAAGCTCAACTTGATAGTGGTTAAACAAGACATCAAAGACATTATTCACCGTTCTTTTCGCAAGTACTACAATGAAACGCAATCGGCTGCCCTCACCAAGGAATTTATGTTAGACTTTGAAAAGAAACTCAAAGGCTTCAGTTTGGATGACATAGAGCGTCTGGCTTCGGAACATACTGTTTGATTTTGTTTACTTGCGCTTTTCTTTTCAAACTAAATTAATTACATGCTGTTTTTTCTTATTCTTTAATTAATAAAAAATAAAAACAAATGCTAAGATATGGTTGGCAATGCCGTTTCGTATTGATTATGACATGACATTCATACACACGCATCGCATCATATGGTAGTATATGGGTAGAATATATGCACCATCATATATCAGTTGAGAAGAAACGAGAGAAGACGAGAAAATGCAAATTGGTCGCCTTGTATTCCAAAATACTTTCTCGAAGTTGCAGTCGATACGTCAAATCTCTACAACGTACAAAGTAATGGCTCCCATTAAGGTAAGTCCGGGAATACGCGTGCATTTACATGGGTTTAATTTTGGGAATGGAAAAAAGGTTTGAAAGATTTGTATATATTATGTAATTTTTGCGGAAGTACTTAAAAAAAAACAGGTAGATATGCTAAATATAGTTATCTGAAAAAGATATAAAGTGGCTCCAAAAGTTATCAATGGCGACGACTTAGTTTAATTAAGTTGCCACATTTATTAACAGAAGTGATTTAACTTTTGACAGTACCAGGTAGCATAGCAGGCATGAAGAATATAGTAAGTTTACTAATACGGAAGACAGGACAGCCAGTGATTGCAAATATCGATTACACATTTTATGTGCAATTTTAAGATTGAATAACGCTGAAATCTTGCTCTTGTATTTTTTTCCAGGTTGGTGAAAAGCTGCCCTCCGTGGATCTGTTTGAAGATTCCCCAGCCAATAAGATTAACACTGGCGACTTGACATCCGGAAAGAAAGTTGTAATCTTTGGTGTACCTGGAGCTTTTACCCCCGGCTGTTCCAAAGTACTTACATAAAAGACATGAAACTATGGGCCATATTAAATGTTCTTTTGGTTTAATTTTAGACACATTTGCCAGGATATGTATCATCGGCTGACAGCTTGAAATCTCAACAAAAAGTTGATGAAATTGTTTGTGTTTCCGTCAACGATCCTTTCGTAATGTCCGCTTGGGGCAAGGAACACAATGCTGCGGGTAAAGTACGCATGTTGGCCGATCCTTCTGCCGCTTTCGCTAAAGCCTTGGACTTGACCATTGACTTGCCACCATTGGGTGGAGTACGCGCTAAGCGCTTTTCCATGGTCGTGGAGAATGGACAAGTTGTGGAATTGAATGTGGAACCAGACGGCACTGGCTTGAGCTGCTCTTTGGCCAATAACTTGGGCAAAAAGTAAAGAGATTATTAGATTGCAATCGAATTGCATTATCCGCATGCTGCCCAATGAAAATAAGCTACGTAGAACGTGTATCCAGTCAATTGAAAAATAAACATTATTTGAAGTGTAGGCTATATCGAAACTGTAGATGAATCAAAAATAAATGAAACATAATAAAAAACAAATTCCAACAGTTTTTTGTACAATTTTTTTTATTTAAAAATACAAAACTAGCTTAATTTATTAAATTTTCGGAACAATTTCTAATTTTTGTGATAATAGTTTGCCGTATCCACCTCTACCGGCATCGTAGTCTGTACGATATTCGTCACGTACTTGACCGCCTGTTTTGCCACGGCCATATTGTCGGCCCTCCACAAAGCCTGCATCCCAATCTACTCGAATCAAACGATCGTCAAGTCTGGTACCATTAACATATCTGTAAAGGAAATGAAAAGCACATGAAGTTCTGAACATTTGGCAAAAGTAAACAAACAAACCAACCTCATTGCAGTTTCGGCATCGGCACGCGTATAATATTCGACAAAACAAAATCCACATGGAGTTTTCTTATATTTATCCAAACCCATAATTATTCGCCTAACTTCCCCGCATCGTGAAAAAAGTTCGTGAATTTGTTCCTCAGTTGTGTAAAATGACATATTACCCACATATAATGTGGTTGATTCCTTGAGAGATCGTTCCTGTTCCGAGCGTGAACCCTGCAATAAAAAAAAAATATTTTTGTTGGAGTTGCAACTTCTAAACTCTATTGTAACTCACTTTAAAGTGCTGATCACGGTAGGAGCTGAGTTCTATTGAACTTCCAGACATTTTTCAGGTCCTTTTCTAGAATTGTAAAATTGTTTACTTGTAAACTAAATGCTAAAACGCTAAGACAACGCTGCTGGCCGCTTTCCATATGCGATTCCGCGTTGCCAACTCATTACTTTTTAGTAAACATTAGGTGTGTACGATAACTTTTCCAGTCAAAATTACTTAGTAACTTGTACGGATATAACTTTCTATTTAGCTGTTTCGAACGGTAACTTTTACAACAAAAAGTTGTTATTCTTATGCTTTTTATCTGAAACATAATTAAGACAGAAGGAAGTAAATATTTTCCAGTAAAATTTTCCATACTCTCAGCAACACAACTGTCAAATTTTCTCTCTTTACACGCTCTTATTTGAGCTCTTGGGTTGTCGAACAACATTTTGTATACACCTATTATATTACCGCTGTTTAGCCATTTCTGAGAAAAACAAAACGTATTAAAAAAATGTTTTGTATTGAAATGTAGGAAAGTCAACATATTATGAAATTGCAAAGACAACTCAAACAACTATATGTTGAATTGTTTAATTTCTATAAATTTACCAATGCCAGTTGTGCAAAACTAAAGTGGGTGTAAAAAAACGCCAAATGGGCACTACTGTTGCAAAATTCACAAGTACAAATCTTACATTTTTCACACATAGAGAAACAGAGAGTAATAAAAATAAATATACGAAGACATATCAAATGGGAATAAAAATATTTTTTTAAATTTCGAAAAGCAGAAAATAATTTGTGCATGTAATTTTATCAATAACATTTTTTATTCGATTAATATATTTGCTAAAAAAGGCCGGAAGGACATTACTGTTGCCAATTTCCCAAGAAAACAAAGTGTGATGTTGGCAACAAAGATAACAGCTGTTCTACTTTCAAAAACCTCTGGTTGACATTTTGTTTTGCTGCAAATTTTATTCATTCTTTTGTTTTCATTGGTATTTTTATCAGTCATTATCTACATTAGTTTGTTCCAATTTCAAACTTTTACGGCGTTGGTTTTGCTTTGAAAGGCTTTGTAATCCTTATTTGTTTTTGTGTCAAAACAGCCAGGCAGTATTGCAAGAGAAAAGAACACGAAAGAAAAAAGACAAATCAAATAATTAAAATAATTAAATATATTCCGCTACACTTCTCGTGCCGGAAGTGCGAGCATAAATCGGGCATTAGATTACCATCAATAGAAGTTTTCTTGGATTTACACAATTGTGTATTTTGTTGCATTTCACTTTGCAGTCAACCAAAAAAATAAACTGATATCTTTGTTGAACCAGAAGATAGCTCTGATAAAAAAATGTCCATGTTATACTACTAACCATTAATTATCAATGCCAAAAGAATGGAGGGATTTGTTGCCGAAGATAAATATCAAAAGTTAGCCAGTGAGTATGCAAAGGTAAGTAAAGTTGGCAAAAACGCCCATTGAAAAGAAGCGTTAATGCGATCATTTTATGCGTCATCCAGATAAGGGCACAAGCTTCAGTACTGCGGAAAGGCATATTGGAAGAACAATCAAAAAATTCCAATCTACGAGATCAATTGAAACAAAAGGAACTAGAGGCCAGGCGGTCAGAACAAGAAATCGACTCACTGGGTTTTCGTAACAAGCAATTGGAACTGCGTGTTGCTGCTCTGCAACAGGAGCTGGCCACAAGTGAAGCACGTAAAAGGGATAAGGACAAGAAACGAAGTCCACACGATAAAAATGATGCAGCCCACAACAATGCAATGGCAAACAAGGCAGATATTTCGCAGGATGCATTAATTTTCGAGGAGCTACAAAAGAAGATTATTGAAAATGCCGAACTGACTTCACTGGTGTGTATCTTAAGGAATGAACTTTTATTTATATATCTTTCATGTACTAACCTCCACTTAGATTGATGACAAAGAAAGAAGTCTCCAGCTTCATGCTGAGCGTATTAGAAATATGGAAGATACTATGGAAAAACGTAATATTGAACATGCCGACAATGAGAAACGGCTACGTAAAGATATCGAATCATTACAATCCCGAAATCAGGAATTGGAAACCAAACTTGTTGAAGCTGCAAGCATGGTAAGGGTGGTTTAATCACAATCTAGTCTATTTATTTAATGAGTCCATCTTCCAGTTGGGCAGTGAAGATGCTTTGAGTGCATCAGGAAGCGAAACCACACCGTTACACAACCATCATCATAATTCTCATCATTCGGAAATTGAAAGTCGTCTGCATGCCTTGGAACAAGAAGTGGCGCACTGGCGTTCACAGTATGAGTTGAGTAAACTCTATGCCGAATCTCTGGAAATTGCTGAAACAAATTTGTTGTGCAATGAAGAAATCCGAGCAAATTCCTCTTGCAATAGCACAACAACTGCTGCGGGCCTTACGATAATACCTTCATTTTCGGATGGCAAGAGGTGGGTATCATAGAGATTTCAAATATGGAACAATATTAATTTCGATTTACCAAAATCCATTTTTACCCTTTTTTCGAAATCAATAGCAAAAGGGATTCGGGAAAGGATCATCATGCCATGCCATGCAGCAAAGAATTGCTTATATTCAACCACTTAAGTAAAAAGCTGGAAGATCTTCTCAAAGATAAAGTATGGGCCGAATCCAAGGTTCGCAGTGTGGAAACCGAAGTGGATAATTTACAAATTTGTCTCGAAAATGCTACACAAGAACTGAAAAACAAAGACGAACAGATAGAAAGCATTAATCAAGCATTGCATTTACTGGAAGAAGATATGGTAAAACTCGACCCGTGATTACTGACATCAAATCAAAATGTTTTATTCTTTCTTTATTTTTAGACAACTACCCGAGTTAACTATGACGAACAGATTAGTGTTCTCACCGAACAGATTATTAGCTTGAGCGAACAGCTAGCAGCCAGTAAATAGCTTCTTTCGCTGTGTATAATTATTGACAAATATTTTAGTCAAGAGATTGTGTATTTATTTATGTAATAAGCGCTTTTTGACCAGTCTACTTAGTCTGGTCCTAATTTATTATTGTAAACAACAAATAAAACTTCTTTGTATATATTCTAGACATGTCAAACCACAGATGTGTTTTTGTTCCAAGATCAAGGGAAAGATCATATTCTTTTCAATCCAATTTTATTGCAAATGATGAGCCACAAGAGCAGCCCTGCTCAGCTTTCGGATTTGCCAGCATACGAAAACCTGAACGTATTAGTTCTGTGTGATAGTCGACGGTGGCTCCGTTACAATATTCCAACGAAACATTGTCTATGACAACCTTAGCATCGTCTTTACCGAACTGCAAATCGTCTTCATTTATTTTGTTATCCAAATCGAATTTGTATTGAAATCCCGAACAACCGCCTCCCTCTACTGTAATACGCAAAAAGCTACCATCGCCACAGATTTCCTTCAATCTCTTGAGGCATGAATCACTTAGGACAAGTTGTTGATCTGAAGCGGCTGTGGCTGATGATGCGGCTTTTGAATAGTTCTTGGAGTTCAAGGCTTCCGTTAGCATCGGAAGTCTGTGATGTAAACAAAGGCTGTAAATAAAAATGTTAACCTGTGTTATTGATATTTCAAACATTTTCTACCTTCGCTGTGTTGGTCGTACAAGATTTCTTAATAAGGATGCCATTTTCAAGTTTTATATACTATATTTCAATTTCAAACCCTCTTCAACGTCGTATGAATTTCGTGAATTTAGTTGTTATTTCTGTTACTTCAGCTCAGTTAGATCTTCCATTACGCAAAGGTATTCCTTCAAATTTTAAAAGCCAGATGTAATGTCAAAATTTATTTACACTTTGTTGGCTATTTGTTTACCTTTTGTTCTGTGATTTCAATCACAATAATGCATTTTGACATTAAAATTGGTAGTCAGTTGGCTTGGCAGGAGGATTTTATAGTTGGACCATGGCATCTTGCATGACCGATAAGACCAGCTGATATCAAAATACATGCAATTGTGAATTAATCGTGCCGAGGTTTTCAATAACAATAGTATTTTTCCTTAATAGTAGTTTTCCGTTCTGTTCGTGGCGCAATAACAAGGTGTTCCTGCAAAATTTAAAAACCAGATGTAATGTCAAAATTTGTTAACACTTTTTTGCCTGTTCTTTATCTTTTTTCTGTGATTTAAATCACAATAATGAATTTTGACATTTCGTTTGGAAGTTAGCTGGCTTAGAGTACGTTCACATACAAAATCTCTACCGAGTTACCTTGTTGACTAAACACAATATATCTGACTATATAAAACATACCATAAATTTATGAGGAAAAGGCAACTAGCTGAACATAGTCATTAAATGAGAGCTGCGGAATTGATTCAACAGTGTTGTTGCGTTTTTTGCAAAATGTTTATCTTTTGTGATACAATTATGCATTTTGACGTTTTATTTAATTTGGTAGTCAGCTCGCTTGGAACTAATACTCCTTTGTACTTAGAGTCGTGTCGTCACGGAATGAAAAATGTAAACATATGTTCAATTGACCGATTCCGTTTAAGGAGCCAATGAGCTAGTTCCATTGTAGTCGTTTCTCAACGTTCAGCGGTCATCTTCTTTAGTTGATCCCTCTACAAACTGTTAATTTTTCCATTTCAAACGGTTGCTCTAAACTAAATGAAGACGTCGACAAATTAAATTAATTAAATTAAAGTATTTATTGAAAAAGTATATTATGTTGCAATCTAAAGAGAATAGATGGTCAAGCATCTCTGAGTATTGCTAGTGAGTCCCATGAAAATTTCAGCCATGATGAATTGGGATAGAAATACCAACAGCTGGTGCTCAAGTTAGAAATGAATAGAAATGGAGAACTCAGTACATTCTTAGACCACCACCTATATGAAAAGAAGATTTAAGTGAAAGACCAGTACTAAAAATAGTAGTGAGGGCACATCATGCCCTTAAAGTCTAGGAAAAGTCCTAATTTAATGGTGATGCATTTTTCCAACAAGATAGACCTAAAAAAAATATTGTCAAGAATACTAAATGTGTAAGTACATAAAGAGCTTGAAGTCTTCGCATGGCATAGTTCGTGACATATCATAAAGGGATGACAGAGCCGCTTTCGAATTGTGCCGTAGTTCCCCTTTATAATTTGACATTGATATGCCTAGCCATGATGCCAAGGAAATAAAGGAATTTGGCTTGACTTCGTACGAATTTGGCCCTACGGTCCTTTGTTCTTTTCCGAAGAAGCCCGCCGATGACTTAAGCCAGTCAAAAAAGCCTTTTATGTACTCACACCTTAACAGAAGTAATTGCGGTTAAATTTTTCAAATTTAAAATGGATTTACGTTCAAAAATACGATCCAAACTGTCCCATTCCATGGCAATTTCTTCAAATCATTGATCTCATATTTTTTTATTCCTGAAAAAAAAAAAAAACAAAAGTTGTGCACACTGAAAACTGTAACAAAAAGCATTTGACTCGGTATGTCACACAGGAGTACTTTACAAGTTAATCGAAATTGGTATAGACCCATACCTGGTCAAGTTGATGGCACGTTTTTTCACTGCACGAAAGTTTTTAATTAATATCAAAAACCCGTCGTCAACCACGGGTTTAGTAAACAGTGGGGTGCCGCAAGGAAGTATGGGGAATCAAAATCAATGCCGATAAATCCGTAGCAATATGTTTCCGGAACGCTTCGGGAAAATGCCCTAGAAACGTTGTTCCAGAGAGTAAAGCGCTTCAGCTGTCTCTTGAAGGAGTTGAGATTCCCTTTAAAACATCTCTAAAATACTTGGGCATTACTCTCACCAATTTGATGAAGTTCAATAAACACGCACGGTCCGTCATGCAGAAGACAAAAGGTATATTAGTAAAGTTTTCGTATCTATTAAATAGCAAATACCTACCACAACACACGAAGTTACTTCTCTACAAAGTTACAATTAGATCTATCTTAGCGTACGGGTTTCCGATCTGGTTCTCTATTTCCCCAATAGTGGCCAAGGAGTTAGAAATTCTAGAACGCAAGATTTTAAGAAAATGTGTCAACAAAAGCTACATTTCACAGGAAAAGAGATACAGCAATACTTACATATACAACACGTCCAGGGTTGTGCCTTTTTGTAAGTATATCCAAAGCCACCAGAAGAAATTCGTGGAAAAACTCGAAACCCATGAAAACTTACTAATGAATGAAATCTACCAAATGGAAAAGCACATATCGTGGCCAAAATCGTATTACCTCTCTCCAATTGGTATATTAAACGAACCAGCCACAGATGTCAACAACGAATACACGCTACCTCCTTTTTACAGCAGATCAGCACAAATATACAAATTACATTTTAGTAATAGTCATTTAAATAATCTCCATAGGCTACTATGATCCCTGTTAGTCAATTACTTAACAGAATTTTGTTTGTTATTTAGTTTTTATGTTTGTTTTTATACCTTTATTTATTTATTTACAGACATTCTCGCTCTGTTCGTAACATTTGAGGCCGTGAGCAAGCCTCTCTCATAATTTCAATCTCTTCAATCTTGAATTTCATTCAAGCAATGTAGCATAATCATATATGTCACGATTAAATTAGAACAAGACAACAATAGTTCTAAGGGTATACTGTTAACCATTCGTATTGTAAACCTATCAAAGAAAGAAGAAGACTCAAAACCACACAAAACGAATGTAAACAACAACACGTGCATTGTAAATAAATAAATAAATAAATAATAATTAATTTATAAAGCAGAAAAAAAAAATAAAAAGCATGGCGAGAAGACCCGAACATTCTGCTCCACCAGAAATTGTATGTCCAATTCAATATATTATTCAATTAAACAATTATGATTTTTTTCTTTTCAAAATATAGTTCTACAACGATGATGAAGCCAAGAAATACTCCAGCAAGTATGTAAACAATTCAGAATACTATGAAAAATAATCTAATATTTCGTTTCATATCTGTACAGCTCACGAATTATTGAAATTCAAGTGGAAATGGCTGAGCGTGCACTGGAGTTATTGAATCTAGATGAGGATGAAAATTATCTAATTTTAGATATTGGCTGTGGTTCTGGTCTCTCGGGTAGTGTGCTTGAGGATAACGATCATATGTGGATTGGCATAGATATCTCCAAGTCGATGTTAGACATTGCCGTAGACCGGGAGGTGGAAGGTGATTTGGTATTGGGCGACATGGGTCAGGGTATGCCTTTTAAACCGGGTACATTCGATGGTGCCATATCCATATCTGCCCTCCAATGGCTGTGCAATGCAGACAAGACATCACACAATCCGCACAAGCGTCTGTACAAATTCTTTTCGACATTATTTTCGAGTTTGACACGTACTGCCCGTGCAGTATTTCAGTTCTATCCCGAAAATGCGGATCAAATCGAAATGGTAACCACCCAAGCAATGAAGGCTGGTTTCTACGGTGGCATTGTGGTCGATTACCCCAACTCAACAAAGGCCAAAAAATATTTCCTAGTTCTTATGACTGGCGGCGCTGCACCAATGCCCAAAGCATTGGGCAGTGAGGAGGATGAGAAACGTATTAGTTATATTAAGAAACGTGAAATGACCAAAGATTGCAGAGGAAAGCCGCTAAAGAAATCTCGTGATTGGATTCTGGCCAAGAAGGAACGCAGGCGGCGTCAAGGCAAAGATACAAGGCCGGATACAAAATATACAGGTCGTAAGCGCAGTGCGCGTTTTTAGTTACCTGACAATGGCAATGTGAAAATATATTTTATTAATGAATATTTTTAATAGTCGTATACAGAAATAATAAGATTTGGAATAAATTTACATAATGTTATATAATAATATAATGTTATAATAAGTAATGAAGAGTATTTTTGTGATTTTCTATTAAATTGTATGAAATGAAGAAATTAATAATAAATTCATTATATTTTTATAATTAATTATATTAGCTTTCACAAGAGTATAAATAAAAAATGTCTTAGTTGGATGCTAAATAAATAAACACAATAATCATTTCAAATTTGCTTTAAAAATGTCAAAAATATATTAATTTAAAGGTTATGAATTCACAATTAATTCTTTTCTTACAAACAACACGTGACAGTAATTTACACACTAAATTGTAAAAAAACCCGACTTAAAAATGACCACATTTTAACAATTTTTTATTAATTTCATAAATTATACGCTCTACGCCATTAGTGTAAACCATTTCGTTGAGATTTATATTCCACACAGGCTCCCTCTAACGGCCAATAGTAATGCAAACCATTTCAACCCGTATTTTTCTGAACACTTCCATATGTCAAATATTTGTGTGTGGTAGCACTGACAATTTCCGTCCTCCATCTTTTTGCTTTGAGGTTTTCAAGATGGTAAGTCGTGCGGCCAATGTTTTCGACCAAAAATTCCCGTAAAAACAAAAAAAAAGTGAAATTATGTGAAAAAATAAATAATTAAAATGAACATATCAGTTACATTGTAACACCATATAGTGAATGTGAAAATAAAAACATGAGAACACTGTGAGAACTAAAAGAAAACAAGAAAAATAATTCAACATAACCTCATTAAACAAATTGTGGTGTGCTGGTGTATTAACGTTTTGTTTTTTTTTTTCTACTCGTTTTTATAGCCGCCAAAGAAGGACGCAAAATCGTCGGCTAAACAGCCACAAAAAACACAAAAGAAGAAGGAAGGTAGCGGTGGCGGCAAAGCCAAGAAGAAGAAGTGGTCCAAAGGAAAAGTCAGGGACAAGTTGAACAATCAAGTTCTTTTCGATAAGGCTACCTACGAAAAGTTGTACAAGGAAGTTCCCCAGTACAAATTGATTACTCCCTCTGTAGTCTCTGAACGTTTGAAGATCCGCGGTTCCTTGGCCAAGCGTGCTTTGATTGAATTGCGCGAGAAGGGTAAGTTTCACAAATCAACAAAATCATTTTTAGAAATCCTTTCTAATTCATGTTTCCGTTTTGTTGCAGGTTTGATTAAACAAGTCGTCCAACACGCCTCTCAAGTCATTTACACACGTGCCACCAAGGGTGATGATGCGTAAATGTGTCGTTAACATTTCCCTAAGACATGTTTTACATATTTTTTTGTATTAAATGACTTAAAGGTAAAAAAAGAAAACCTAAATGTGTTATCATTTAAAATGGATTTGGATTTTTAAAAACGTGGTTAAATTGCAAACAAGTTTTGAAACTATTGATCTAGTGTGTGCAAAAGAAGTTATGGATAGGAATAATTTGCAAACAATAATGTTTTAAGCGGCTTTTTGCAATAACAATTGAATGCTGTGAGGTATTCTAATTTGCAATGAAAAACAGTGAACTACAAATTAGCTTTCAACATAAATAACTATCCGAATTGTATCTAGATTGTGATTTCGTTTTTGAAAATAATTTTTTAATTTGGTTAAATTTAATTACCATCCATCGGAATTTAAAATAGATTTTGTTTTTATATGTAGTGGAATGTCCATTTAAGTTTCTCCCTTGGCTTAAAGTAGTGTAATCTGAAATTGAACTGCCGAAGGTTTTAAGATTATGAAATTAAGTTTTTTTTTAGAAAATGGCTAGCGTTCATTTTCATTGAGTCAGAATTTTGGGTGGGTCGATGTTTCAGTACACTAGAATTTAATCATACCAAACGGTGTAAAGGATGTGTAAATTTTAATTGGACTCCAGTATTTAAAAATGCCGTTGGGTGGAATCAAAGTAAAAAAAAATTTAGATATGCAATCCGACTATTACAGACATGTTTAAAAGGAGGACAAGATATTCCACTGTTATTTTTATTTATTTACTAAAATGTCCACATAAAACATTTCGTTTTCAATACAAAGCAGCTTTCTTCTAGTTTACAATTTAATTTGAATTGTTGAAAAATATTAAAATTCTTCGGCTATTACGGATAATCTTCACATTTTGCCAGTTCTTTGAAACAACCGTATTCCGGTAATGATTTGAGTGAGACCACTACCATTTGAAATACTACTTTTTATGTAGCAGGCCTTTGCAAGGGTCTTATAATGTTCTCCTCTACTGATGTTCAACACTAGAATATTAGCTTTTAGTAGGAATTAATGAAAAAAATATATAGTTGAATTACTGTGCAATGGTTGTGAAAAAAACCACACTAAAATATACCTGACGAGGTGCTCAAGCAACGGTGAAACGCGACGCATAATGTTCTTTTCATAAGGAAACAGCCATAAAGAGTATGATCTGAGGCCAGGGACGTACACTGACATTGGTGGGACTTGTTGCTTTTTCACAGACACTTTAAATTATTCAAAATTATTTCTGATGCAGACATAGATTTGCTGAGATCTTAGGAAATTTATATGCTCGATTCAATAGTCTCCCAGAAAGGCTCCTTTAGTCTGGAAAGTGTTTGCGGCATTAAGGTGAATTTATCTTATGTTTTAGGCTACATAAAATCATGTAGGTGGCAGCTAACTGATACAACGCCTGACCCGCGTCAAACGTCAAATTAATACTTGTGAGCCACATACGTTTCTGGGTCCTTATGTGATAAAACTAGAAATATGTTCAATGAGTTTATACCGAGCTTGAGGGAAAACTATACGTTGAATAACATTGTTCACCATTGAGAGAACTAATAGCGATATATGTTTCTAAAATCACTTGTTGACTACAGACTGTTGGGATTTAAAATAGAAAAAAAAAAAACAAGTAAAAAAGCTGTAAGTTCGGCCGGGTCGAAATTTGAATATCCTCCAGCATTTGGGACGAAATTGGGAATTCTAAAAAACAATAAAATCCGTTAAAAATTCTATTAAAATCTTTAAAATACCGAATGTATCTGTTATATTAGGGTCTATACGACGACGTGGACCTTCACAGACAATTGTATGCCATAGGCTGTAGTTCCCATTACGAACTTTAAATATCAAATTTGAAACAATTCCGGTGAATAACGTCGCTAAAATCATCAAAATACGGAATAATGGGGGTACCGCTATATGGGGGCTATACGAAGACGTGGACGTGCACAGACAATTTTATGTCATAGGCCGTAGTACCCATTACGAACTACAAATACTTCACGTTTCCGGTGAATAATGTCGCTTAAATCACCAAAATACGGAAAAAGGGAGGTACCATTATATGAAGCCTATACAAAAACGTGGACCTACATGACCTATTTTTAATGGCAAAAGTCCTACACACATAATACACATTTGAGCAAAATGTTATCAACTTACTTCATTTCGTTCGGAAGCTAATATGCTCTGGAAGAAATCATTAAGGTCGCTTGATTAGGGAGACGAATTAGAATAGAATTATGGTTGTATGTAAAAAAATTGAACCCCTTCGAATTTTAAATTTTTTATAATTACATATTAATGCATATCAAAATATATGAAAAGAACAGAAATGTGAAAATTTTAAATTTTAGATGATGCCACGTAAATGAAATATGAACGAAGCTAGTAACGCCATCTATATTTCGTTTACAATACATATTTTTCTAGCTGCATCACATGCTGTGTTCCTGAAAATTTTCAGTGATAACGGTAAAATATAAGAGAATGGCCATTCTCTACAATGTTGACCAAGAAATACAGGGTGAGATAAAAAAACTGCAACAAAGTCAAACGCCATAATTTTTAAATTTTATTGAATGAAAGCAAAAAATGTCGGAAACAGCATCAAATTTTAGAATAAGTTTAGATTTGTTCGAATTTCTCACCCTTGGCACGAATTATGGCCTTCAAACGGTCAAATGAAACCGTCACACGCTGTCCGAATGTTGCTCTGCGGTATTTTGACCGGAAGGTGCACATTTTCAGCTGACCTCTTTGGCAAGTAAACACGATCATTTTGTTTGTTTACAAACCGCTGGACAACCAAATTCGGCTGTTTACCACTTTCCGCCAAGCGAAGCAACTCTTTAGCTCTTTTGAGTCTATTTTCTTTCTGTTGCGGTGTAAGATCTTGTACTTTTTCGAATTTCAAGGGCCCATTTTTCAATATTTGCCGAATGGAATATTGCGATATGTTCAGGTCACTAGTTATTTTTCGGCCACTGCGACGTGGGTTTCGATCAAGTCGCTTCTTTACTTTTCGTACCATTTCTACTGATGTTGGTGTTTTCTTCCGCCCTCTTCCGTCCTTGACGTCGGGCTACGCTTCCAGTATCACGGTAACGAGTGATGGTACGAGACACAGAAGATTTATTCACATTTAAATGCTAGAGTGCTCTAACGATAGACACTTGTGGTTTTCCAGCCAAATATAAAGAAATCACACTATCACGTTTAAATTCAATCACGAATAACTTTTTTTCTGGAAAATTCTCACCAAAATGCTTTTGTACGCTTGTAAACAATATAATGATCTGTCACTCGAATAATTTTAACAGCTGTCGGACGAGTGGCTTAGAAATGACAGCAGTCTGAAGTTGGTTGCCGTTCATCATCATCTTACCCAGTATTTCATAATTAAGGGTCGAACAATGAATTTGGAGTGAATAACGTCTCAGTTATAATTCACTACAGCGTATGACTTGAAACGTAATAGGTTTACCATATTATAGAAAAAAATAATAACAAAAAATACATTAAACATTGTTATAAGTTGTAGAAAACTACAAAATATATTTACTATATTCAAAAGTATTTTATTTATATGTGCGCTGGGTTTTATCATCATAAAACGCTTTTATAACATATGTAACGAAAAAATCTAATCTCAGTCCCGAGGCATGCGTTGAAGACGTGTCGTACATGTTCAAAAAATTCCCCTTTGTTGTGTCATGTGCTTCGGTAATTAATACCAAATGAGCTGGACTAAATAGGGAGTGTCGTACGACGCATTAAAGAAACAATAACGTAAAGAATGTAGGATGATTTTTAATGGAAACATAATTTTTTCCGCATCATTGTCTTATCTTTTATAGTATTTGTTAGAAATTAGATGTGTGTGTAACCATATGGGGTCAAATTTTAACTAATTTTCATTTGTTAATTTTCTTTTTAAAATACTTGACGTATAAAAACATGCGTTGCACCCCGTTTGCCATCTACATTTAAATTCGTACATTAACCATGGAACGCAAATACGTCGGGACTGCAACTGTGTTGTCAAATTTGTCAAATAGAGACGAAATATTTTGGTATTTTTTTAATACGCTAGAGAGCAGCACTTGATCATGTGATTAAGGCTGAAAGTTTTTCTCGTAGTCACCTGTCATTGAAAATATTCTGTAATTTTTGTGAGTTTTTCTCCGTTTAATTTTTTTGTTTCCTCCTCCTTTTTCTTCGAATAATAATTTGGAAATATTTGCAGTTAAATTTAAAGAAAAGTGGTAACGAATTTGACAAAAAAGAAAAACTAAGCTGATACAATGGCCCAGTTACGTACGATTGTTGGAAAAACATTTCTTTGGCTGTTCGTTGCCGTCTGTACGGTGTTGATCTTCTACCATGTCTTTACTGGCAAGGGTGAACGTGTCAGCGTTGGCTGGTTCTTGTCCGTATCCTCGCCCTATATGTGGGCTTGTTTGGGCATTGGATTGGCTGTAGCCTTATCTGTGGTCGGTGCTGCTTTGGGTATACACACAACTGGTACCAGCATAGTGGGTGGTGGTGTAAAGGCTCCTCGTATCAAAACAAAGAATTTAATTTCCGTTATCTTCTGCGAAGCCGTAGCCATTTATGGCCTCATCACTGCCATTGTTTTGTCCGGTTTGTTGGAAGCTTTCAAGATGGAAACTGCCATCAACAATCAAACCGTAATGAATAACAATTGGACTGCTGGTTACGTTATGTTTGGAGCTGGTCTGGCCGTTGGCTTGGTTAACTTGTTCTGTGGTATTGCTGTAGGTGTTGTTGGTTCCGGTGCCGCCTTGGCCGATGCCGCCAATTCAGCTCTCTTTGTGAAAATCCTGATTGTTGAGATTTTCGGTTCCGCCATTGGTCTCTTTGGTTTGATTGTTGGTATTTACATGACCTCCAAGGTGAAGATGGGTGACAAGGAGTAAAGTGTACTCTCTGGAGTTCCACCCAAAACAGAAGATGTAAGTTTAAAATGAAATTTTTTTTGTCACACAATCATGTAATGATTTATTTCATTTATAGTTATCTTCATACCAGCCATTCCATCAAATACATATATTACAATTGGAAAAGACCAAATAAATCAATATATACCTATAGACAGAATATTTTTCTCGCCATAGTGAATTACAAAACAACCTATCCCAGAGACAGGGAGAGAGTGTGTGTGCGTGTTGCAGGATGTTTTATCTACGCGAAATAAAAATAAACATATAAAGTGTAAGGACTTATTATAAGTACGATATTGAATTAACTTAATCTTTTGTGGAACATGTATTTTCGAACACTCAGCATCAACCAAGATAATACATGTTCTCAAAGATTGAATATTTCTTTCTTCATTTTCATAATAATGAATGAATGTATTTATTTTTCTCTTTGCTGGTTGTCTTTTTTAAGTTTCTCTTTTTAACTGTTAAACATGTATTATTTTTTAAAAAATACCTATCAATAATTATATACATACAAATTGATTTAACTATATTAAATGGAAATTGTAAAAAGTATTGAATATATCAATAAATATCGATATTGTTCGTTTTCTTTCTAAAAAAACTATTAATGTATATCTCTTTTGGATGATGAAGGCTGTCATTAAATGTAGTATATTTAAGTATTATCAAGATCGTTTGGAATATTGTATTTCCATAAGAACATTTAAGCATTAATTATTTTTATTCCAAGTGTTCACTTGGGAATTTCTCACTTTCACTAACAGGGAAGATCCAACAAATCGACGATTAGGTATGTTTGAATTTGTAAATTTTAATTGATAATAATTGCACAGTATTTCTAGTTAAATATATCTTATCTCTCATTCATTTTTTAGGTTTCCGACAGTTCGATTAAAATCAAATAATACAATACCATTCTATGCACCACTTATAGGAATTACGCTTTACCTTTTCTGTATGCAATTATACAATTCATCTTAAAAATGTTAAGATCTATTGTGGAAAACGATCAAAGCACCAATAGGCTCATCTTTTATTGCAAAACCTATATATCTTTAATTTACACACAACACCGACACAGTGAATAAGTGGGAAACTATGAGATTATTTTAACACCATCGAATTCCGATTACATTAAAATCTGTCACTTTTTGTACAAATCGGTCATGAGTCGGTCATAAGCATATCCGTCTCTGCATTTTGTGTAAATTATATTGTTCAATACTGCATAGAAAACAGCTTTCCGTCTCTGAAATGGATCTTGTCAAATGAATAATTTAGGAAACTCTACTATGAAATCGGGGTTTAGACTGGGTGGAAGATAGATCGCGTTGCTGCCTTTGTACCGACAAAAAACGTATTTGTGGAATAGCAAAATTTAGCATAAATTGATGATGTACAGGGTGAGATGGAAAAAACTGCAACCAAACTCAGACTGCTGTCATTTCTAAGCCACTCGTCCGACAGCTGTTAAAATTATTCCAGTAACAGTTCATTATATTGTTTACAAGCGTACAAAAGCATTTTGGTGAGAAGTTTCTAGAAAAAAAGTTTTTCGTGATGGAATTCAAGCGTGATAGTGGGATTTCTTTATATTTTGCTGGAAAACCACAGGCATTCCAGCATTTAAATGTGAGTAAATCTTTTGTGTCGCACTCAGCACGCGCCACCCAGGAATGGTTACAAAATGAGGTTCCACGCTTCATTTCCAGCGCATAATGGCCACCAAAATCTCCGGATACCAATTCGTTGGACTATTGTGCCTGGAGTATTTTTGAAAGCAAGGTTGACACTGAAAAAATATCAAAGTGTCGATCGCCGGGAATGGGCCAAAATACCGCAGAGTAACATTCGGGCAGCGTGTGACGGTTTTATCGACCGTTTGAAGGCCCTAATTCGTGCCAAAGGTGACCAATTTGAACAAATCTAAACTTATTCAAAAATGTGATGGTACATAGATGATCTCCTGAATTTCATTAGCAAATGTAAAATTGTTTTATGAAATCAATTAATCTTTTTATCCTGTCAAAATCAAAATATTGCTTTTCTTGTTTTGTTTTGCTACACTCCTTTCAAAAAAAAAAAAAAAACAAAAGCTTTGTTTATACGTATATTCATGTATACTTAGATGCACTAACACATATGTATCCTCATGTAAAAAGAAGAGAAATAAAGAGAGTACTTTTATATGGTTTCAAGTAACCAACAACTAGCACTGGTGAATGAACACTTCGTGTTCCACCAACACACTTGACAACGTATGAAGTACAAAAAAAAAAAAAAAAAAAAAAAATGTGATGGTATTAAATAAAATTTAAAAAAATGTATAAATTATGGCATTTGACTTTGTTGCAGTTTTTTATCTTACCCTGTATATTTTCACTTCGATTTAAAAATAAAATTCACAGAAGAAAAATTAAATAAAATCTAAAATTCAAACTCCACCTGAAATTGGACAACTTACGTACGTGATAATGTGGACACCACAACATAAATTACATGGCTGGCAACAAAACATAATAAGTTGGCAACCTTAAATAAATAATGTTGGCAACTATAACTTTGACAGCGGGCTTTGTTTGTTTTTTGAATCTAATGAAATACAATTAAAATTTCTTTTTTTTCTCAGTTATTATTTTATTGGAAAACAATAATCATAATTTAATGTCATTCCACTATCCACGTCGTGTTAAAGATCTTCCAAAGTTAGAACTTGATTCCGAAGATGAATTTAATACGCCACTTAAGACGAAGCCGTCAAAAGATGGAACTCAAAATTCACAGCAAAGGTAAAGTGCAATTACATTAATTAAATGGTAATTTATTTATTTTAAATGCTATTTTTCTATTCGAATAGCACGGCAACCGCAAATAAGGAGAATGAGAACAATGCCAACAGTAGTTCCACATATTCATTTAACAATCTTCGCATGGTGTAAGTTTCCTATCTTCAAGAACAGATGGGGAGATAAATAATATTACACAAATATTTTAGGCCCAAAAGACGCGCTGAGTTGCCTGCACTGGAATCGGATTCTGAAGACGATTCTGTTAAAGATGACAATTTAAACTGTGCTATTCTTAACGATTCCTTTCTGCTTACACCAGGAAAAAGTTGTTCTGGCGAAGCTGGCTCTAAGGAGAGTTCAGTTAGTAGGGGGAAAACTAATGACACGTCAGACATGTCCTTGTTGGCACATTTCAATAATATGGATTTGAAGAGTCCTTCAAAAGATACGAAAGTGGACAAACCAAGCCAAGAGACTAGTAACTCTCATGAAGTTGCCAATGATGTGCCGGCATCAACTATTAAAAATGCATCATCAATTGAAGCTCAATTTGCCACTCCACAAATACGTTCCTTTTCGGTACAAAGACGGCCACGCGATCTTTGTTCCACACAGTCACAAAAAACCAAATCGGCCATTGTAAATGAGTTTCGTTCCCAAAAGGTTTTATTTCAGACTCCAATGGCCATATCACGGGCACCAATGTCCTGTCTACCTAACGATAGTATTTCATTTTCTTTATGTGATACCATTAATGAGGGTGGAACACCCTCAACAGCGGAAAAAACCCCAAAATGTGCTGCAGAAAACCCTACGGGTCGTTCCAAAAAATCCCTTGAGGGCGAATTTATGGAAGTGAGTCGGGAACAGGCACAGAAGACTGAAAATGCAAAGGGCTCTGCGATCACAACTAAGGATAAGGAAACTATAGTTCACATAAATAATTCCGACTATGTTATTATGCAAAAACTGGGCTGTGGTGGATCTAGCTCGGTGTATCTTGCCAAAAGGGTAGACAATGACAAAGAATGTGCATTGAAGGTAAGTCTTGGGGTTTTTAAATGCAATCCAGAGGTGATTATTGCGTATTTACTTTTTGTAGGTGGTTGATTTGCAAGGTGATCCTGCTGTTGTGGAAGGCTATTTGAATGAAACCAAGTTGTTGGCCAAGCTCCAAGGCAATGTCTGTGTTGTCTCTCTATATGAGTAGTGAGTACTGTTAACTATCTTCGTTTGCCCATTTTAAAGTTGATATATTTCAGTCAATTATTACGAAAGGAATCCAAGCTGTTTTTGGTAATGGAGAAGGGTGATTCGGATTTACATAAAATCCTACAAAGCTATACCACAAATTTGCCGCTCTACGTTCTGACAAACTTTGTTTATCAAATGCTGCAAGCGGTTAACTACATACACCAAAATGGTGTCATACATTCGGACCTAAAACCTGCCAATTTTCTAATGGTTAATGGCAGATTAAAACTCATAGATTTTGGTATTGCCAGTAATATTGCTATTGATTCGACAAGTATTATTAAATTCTCACAAGCGGGCACGTTTAATTACATTAGCCCCGAGGCACTAACTGATACCTCCACTGGCAGCAGCCCAATGCGTAGTAATCAACCAAAAATAAAGGTCTGTCATTGCATGATTTCAAAAAGTGAATAGTAATTATAAAAAACATTTTTTTTAAGATTTCCACAAAATCGGATGTTTGGTCACTGGGCTGTATTCTTTATTTGTTACTTTATAAGAAAACACCATTTGGCCATATCAAAAATCTGTGTGCCAAAATAAGTGCCATATGTAGTCCAACACAAAATATTGAATTTGGCCCATTGCCTCCCTATTATCCTGCCATGCTGGTTCATGTAAGTATGTTTGATAAAAGTCAAATTGCGTTTTTTGTAACAACGATTTTCTTTAACAGATGGCTAAAAATTGTCTGCAACATAATCCCAAACAACGCCCATCCTGTGCTGATTTACTTAAATATCCCTTTAATATGATAATTCCAATACAAACCCTATCGCTGCCACCTAAGTAATATATAACGTTGAATTTATAATTATGTGTAATTAGGATTAAGAAATTATGATATCACCATCAACAAATAAAAATAAATTGTAAAATACTATTATTAGAAAACATGAAAAATTTATGATTTTCACATCCGTAAAACCCATAAAGGTCTGTTATGTACCTATAAAATGTTTTCTATGTTTAGGGTACTTGTTAAATGTTTTCTGTTTATAGAAAAAAGGTCATGAGGTATAGAAGACCAGATCTTGTAGTAGTTTTAAGAAGAAATGCCCAAAAATGTATAATTTTTCAGAATATTTTTTCCAGTCCTACAATAAGTGAATTTAAAAAAATATATATTTTTTTCAGTCCTACAATAAGTGAATTTTAAAAAAATATATTTTTTAAAGTCTACCATAACCGTGGACATTTTAAAGAATATTTTTTTCACGGTCTACCAGAAACATTGATTTTTTAAAGAATATTTTTTCAAGACCTACTATCTTTTTATACCCTCAGCCATATGGCTACCCTCAACGTGCCTCATCGAAATAATTGTTTTAGGCCTAGGTCTCTTTGGACCAAATCCGTTTCAGGTTATTTGGAGCCGAACTAGCGGTGTCAGTCCGTCTGTCTGTCTAGCTGGCTGATGCGCACGATAACTCCCGAAGGGAGTATTCGATTTGATCCATACTTGGTGCATCGTAATATTATTATCAAACTTAGACCGAGTTCGGAGATGAGCAATATGGGTCCACTCCTTCTGGTACCTCCCCCACAAAAGGTCAACATTTTTTAAAGAAAATAATTTACTGCACAGGAAGAGAAGGGATAATCCAATTTTGCTCGAACTTTGCAAATCCTAATATTTTCATCAATTCTGTCATTTGCGAAATGAACAATAACTCAATGTTTGGTGTAAAGATGAAATACATCGGTATACCTCTTCTGGTACCTCCCCCCACAAATGGTCAAAATTTTGAATATCCATGAAGCTCATAAAACGCGAATTTAACATCCGATTCAATCCAGACTTAGCACGTCTCAACATTTCTATTAAAACAAGATCTGTATAAAGATGCTAGAGATCGGACCATTCCTTCTGGTATTAAATCCGAAATAAGCATACGGTTCTCTTCATATTTGACACATCCCATTATTTTTACTAACAAAAGATGTGTAGTGTAGATGGGATATATCGGTCGGTCTGTTGTGAAGATGATAGACATCTACCAACCTGTTCTTGTACCTCAACCACAAAGGGTCACAATTTCCAATACTTATATCTGTCATAAACAAGTCGGCGTTCCTATACAACTTGCTATATCTAAATATTTCTCTTAGTCAGAAATCTGATATGAATATGTAATATATCGAATTGGACAAAATTGGCCATCTGCTTTGGAAACTCCCCCATACAGGGTCAGGTCAACAGCTAGAATAATCATAACTCAAGGCTGGGGTTATACATCTGTCGGCAAAACCGACTGATACTATCTAACTTGTTTAAAGAATATTTTTCCAATGCCTTTCCTGTGTGGAAGTCTATTTAAAGTTCTTCTGTGGCTAAAAACATTCTGAATATCTCCTTGGCATAATACCAAATTAAGGCTCTACAATAAAAGGCTATAAATCTTGAGTATTTAAAATTTGTCACCATTCTGTAGAAGACATCTGTCTTTCATGCTAGCTATAACTTATAACAATAAGAAAAAACAACACATTGTACACAATTAGATTTTTTTAGATTATTTTCTGTTGTTTATGCTGTTGTAATATAATCATAATTGAATTAATGTATCTTTTTTTATTGCATACTACTTTAGTGCTTAATATATAGATTTTTCCAATATGACAGACATTAAATGTCCTGCAAGAAAAAAAAAAACATTTATTAGTCAACTATTAACTGGAAATACAAAAAAATTAACTTACCTGCTGACCATTAGATTTGTATTGTAACGTATTAATTTGTTCGTCTTTAGAACGTACAACACTACGCCAATGTTCTTCCTGCTCCTCGGCTTTCTGCATCAGGTCGGATAATGTGTATTCCTGTGAAATGTATGCATATAAAAATGTTTGCTTTTTGGCAAATTATTAAAGCCGAAACTTACAGTTTTTCTAGCGAGTTTGGTTAACTCGTCGATACGAACGCGCAGGATTGAATTCTCTTTAAGTAACTCAGACTTTTCAGTGTCATTGTTGTTGTCTCCGGATCCGGGACTGCTACTAACGCTGGAACTGCTACTCCGACTGCCGTTGGCAGCATGTGTGGAGTTTTGATTGAGGGAAGGAGGACTGTTGTGTGAGTTGTTTGATGATTGTGTAGATTTGTGACTACTGCTGACTTGCTGCTGCTGTTGTTGTTGTTTAATGTGAGTCGACAAGACCTGCTCAACCCACTGATCAAAAGTAACGGACAGAGCTGTGCCGGCACAAGCTTTAACTGCCTCGGGACACAATCGCTGCAGAAGATCACGCAATTGTTTTTGATCTTTAGCAACATCCGTATGGCCTGATGCTGATGTCTTGCCACTCTTGGCTGCAGAAGATAACAGTTTTTCCTGTTGCTACACATGGAATGAAAAGGAAAAATAAATTTGTTATACATCCACATAGGGGCCCAAAACAGTGACATGAACAAAACTAATACTATTATCTAGGTCTATACCAACAACAAATAGCACATCCATAACGAAATTAAAAGAATCTCTATTTCTTAGATCAAATCAATTTTTTTTCTTTAAGAAATTCTTTTAATTACATTTGGATGGAAAAAGGCATATAGGAAAAGAAGGAAGATAGGCATAGAGTGTAATAGGTAGGGTAGGTAGTATTTAATTTGTCATGCACTTACAACACCTACTAAAATTGAATTTTGGCTTTGTTTACTAACTTTTGCTTCAGAATTTTGCAAAGCCTCAACCAATTTCCAGTTTTTAGTGCGCAAATCCTAAAGCAAAAACACAAATTATTTGGTTATTAGTAGAACGGCAAAGAAAATAGTAGCATCATTAAGTCAAAAATTAGGTTAGCAATGAAAACTGGAAGATTTCGGTTTGAAACAAATGATTGCTTTCAAGGAAAGCTAATTTTGTGCTTTTCAATTTGGAAGACAAATGAAATATTGTAGTTGCAATTCTTGCACTCTACTACTACTACTTACATTGTTTTTCTCTTTTTGTTCCTGCAGCTGTTGCAGCAACTCCTTTTCGCGTTTGCTTAGTTTTTCCGATTCCTTTTCGACTTCCTTCAGTTGGTCATTCTTTTTGCTCAAGTCCTCTTTGAGGGCTTCAACGATTTTTTGCACATCTTGCTGCTTGCTATTGTCCTGCAACAGTTTGTCCTTCTTTTGAACCTCGCTTTTGAGTGTTTCCACCAGTTTCTGCAGTTCTTGGTGATTTTGTACCTGCTGTTCGGTTTGTTGCAGTACTTTAGTTTTGCTGCTGACATCAGACTTAAGACCCTCTACCAACTTTTGCAATTCCTCCAGTTCAACTGACTTGTGTTTAAGCTCCGACTCGAGGGAGTTTAGTTGTTTTTGTAGTTGCATTTTGGATGCCTCTGAATCGTCCAATAGCCGTTGCTTTTCGACAATTTGAGCCTGCAGATTGTTGAGATTGCTCTGTAAATCATTTTGCTCCTTGGACTGCTCTTGAGTTTTGCTAGATATATTCACAAGCTGTTGAGTCAACTCATTGTTCTGGGCTTGCAATTGGTCAATCTCCTTTTGTTTGTCGGCGATTACCTTGGTGCGCACCAAAGCCAATTCATTTCTGAGGGCTTCCACATCAGCATTGCTTTGCTTCAAATCGGATCTAGCAGATTCAAGGGCATTTTGATTGTTGCGCAGTTCTAATTTAAGTTCGCTTAGCTCGGTCTCCAATTGGTTAGCTTTTTCCAAATCGAAAATTCTATTATTGGAGACTTGTTCCAGTTCGTCGCGTTGTTGTTCCAAGACACGTATTTGCTGGGCCTGTGTTTGGATGATTTCGTTTTTCTGTTGCGATTCTTCGACGGCTTGGTGCGAGGCATTAACCATACAGGTCAGTTCGGCAATGCATTTATCCTTCAAAGCCAATTCCTTTTGCAACATCTGCAGCTGAGCCATAATGTCTTGAGAGCCAGCTTGTTTTTCGTGCATTAGCTTGGCCTGGAACTGTTGACGTTCCAGGGTCAAGGTGTCATTAAGAGTTTTGATTTTCTGTTCCAAAAGGGAAATGTCCTGATCTTTTGTGGCCAATTTCTCAGTGTACGACTTAATGGTGCTGCTCATGCTGGCCCGTTCGGTGTTGATTTCGGTGCGTAGCTCTCGCAATTTGGCCTGGATACCAATTGAGGCTTCCAGCTCTTCGGCCAAGGCCTTTTCTTTCTCCTCCAATTGTCGTTTGAGCTTTTGACAAATGTCATCAGACCATTCGGAATGCGAAGAGGGCATATCTTGTTGGCGATTCAAAAGATAATCGATTAAAATTTGTATCTCCGAACGATTTAGTTCTGCTCGGCGGAAGAGATTCATTAGCAAAGATACTCCAATTGTGTCGGATTCAGATAACTTCTCAAGTCCGGCCACAATATCTTTGGAATCTTTTTGTTTCTTGTTTTGTTGTTTTTGCTTTTGTTGGGAAGTTTTGGGGGAGTTTTGACGGATTTTCTCCTCGGCCTGTTTGACTTCCTTAACAATGGGTGTCTCTGTTACCGTTGGTAGATTTTCATTAGAAGCATTTGTTTTCTTGTTGGATTTATCCTTTTTGTTTTGTTGCTGTTGTTGTTGCTGCTGCTGTTGGGATTTTTCTTCTTTCTTTTCGGCTTTTTTAAGTTCAACAGCATCCTTGGGTGTTTTAATGTCAAAATGATTGGCAGCCGCTTCGGCAGAGACATTTTCCTTGACATTGGCCGGCTCATTTTTGTGCACCAAGATGCCACCTTTGCTGCTGGGTTTCTTGTCCTTCTTACCCCCCTTGATTTGCTTGTTAACATTTTCCTTTTCAGCATTACTGGAGCGTCTAGAAGCCGTTTGGTTGTTATAAGTCAAAACTTCTGCATCCGGCTCAAATTCAACATGAGTCTTTGACAGTCCCTGGGGTTCTTCTTCCACCGACTGTTGTTCAGATTGGGCATCCGAGTCTTCGGGTTGTTCCCGTGAACGCTGCTGGCGTTTCTCTCGTTTCATTTCCTTTTTAAGGGAGATCTTTTTGGGCTTTTTCACCACATTCTTTTCCTTGCCGTATATTTTCTCGGTCAGAGCCTTTTTCTCGGCAATAACTTCTTCAAACGTTTTGCGGCGCAAGAACTTGTTGATGAACAGCAGCGACAAAAGCGATGCCAAGAAAACACAAGCGATCACAATAAAAATGTGTAAATCCATCATTGCATAGTTTATTCAGAAAAACAAAAAAATAGAATCCAATTCTTCGATATTTGGTTTCAAAACCAATTTGTTATTTACTTTGCGCTTAGTTACGTTAGAATTTGATACGTGGAATGTACTGAAATAAAAAATATTTAAAACTAATTAAAATTAGTGACTATTTTTGTTGATTCATAAACGGTAAAAGGAGATAAGTGTTGCAAACAATTACAGGCTATGGTGGCGTGGTGGTGGCGGTGGTGTCCCAACGTTGTGTTATTTTCTTACTATTGTAAATAACTTATCTCGTTGATATTCCAAGAGGAAATAAAAAAGAAATGGTATTTCTTATCGGAAAGATCGCCCAAGCAAAATGCAGACTAAAAAAAAAAGAACTGCCAAGCAACAATTTTTTCTTCTTCCTCTCACTCTCTCTCTCTCTCTTTTCTCTATCAAACCTCGAACATGAGCTTACTTTTTTGTATTTGATGACGTGTTCTTTTGTTTATGAATGGAAATCAAATGAAAAGAATCGAATTAAATCAATTCTCTCTTTTCCTGGATCACTTTTCTCATCGAATCATCAATGACAGATAATTTGTCTACTATGTTTAATACTCTATGCCGATGAGGCGTACATAACATACTTGCTTTGAGGTGGGTTCCATACGCAGTCAGTCAGTCAGCCAGCCACACACATACAACCGCACTCTGTTAGTTGTTAGTGTATACAATGTTTTATGTAAAAAAAAAAGCCGGCCGGTATTTAATTATTGTTTCTCTGGCAACAATTTTGTGGTGCTATTAGATCAACTGACAAACCACTAATGTTAAGGTTTGCTGATGGGACCCCGCAGCAGCAGCAGCAACTCAAATTGATGAAATTACAGTATTCAAGCGAGGGAAATAAAACAAAAAGAAAATATTTCACACCAAATGACGAAGAAAGTTACCACAAGTATTTAACAAACAAAAAACTTGTTTATCTCTTGTTTTTTCGCTGTGCATTTTTATTTTTAACCCATGAAGCACCATAAATGAAAATTGAGGAAATTTTATTAAATTACGGAAATCAATAATGTACGTACATTCTTAAGAGATAAGATGAATATAAAAAATACTTGATTATATTTTTGACAGTTTGGGCCTTAATCAATATGCCAAAGATTAATAACATTTCGTTTTGCTTTTAGGTAATCAAACAAAGAAATTTCATGAGATTCAGCGCTTGCATGCAGCAACAAAGTAAGAGCTTTTAGGAGAGAAGGGGGCAAGGAAAATCGGTAATCCGACATAGTTTTATGGTGAAATAGTTGAGGTAATATCTAAGAGAAATTAATGAAGATTATGTTTTCCTTGAGATATCAGCGAAGAAATTTGGAGGAACCAAAAAAGCTGGGTCCAATACCACTAAAATGCTGCAAGAAACCTGTAGAAAAACTGAAGACTCGGGCTAAATGATATATTAACATAGGGAAGTTTTTTCTTTTGTCATAAATCGTTACAATATTCAAATAGGAAACTTGAGAAAAAAATCGGTGAATAATGTAGATAAAATCATAAAAATACCGAATATTACCTCCCTATATTCGGTATTTTGATAATTTTAGCTACGTTATTAACCGATTTTTTTATATAGGGACTATATGAAAACGTGGATCTGCACGGTCATAGGCTGTAGTATCCAATATGAACTTCAAATACCAAATTTGAAATAATTACGGTGAATAATGTCGCTAAAAAGCCTCAAAATACCAAATATCGGGAGGTGCCGTTATATGGGGGCTATACCAAAACGTATACCTGCACAGACAATTTTCTGTCATAGTCTGTAGTATCCATTGCGAACTTCAAATACTAAATTTGAAACATTTCCAGTGAATAATCTCGCTAAAATCATCAAAATACCTAATATCGGGAGATACCGTTATATGGAGGCTATACGAAGGCGTGGGCCTGCACGGACAATTTTCTGTCATAGGCTGTAGTATCCATTATGAACTTCAAATAAAAAGTTTGAAACAATTCCGGTGAATAATGTCGCTTAAATTACCAAGGTACCATGGGGGCTATGTCAAAACGTAGACCTACATGGCCCATTTTCAATACCAAAAGTCCTGCGGACATAATACACATTTAAGTAAAATTTTAAAAATTGACAATAGATTGACGTTTCCAAAAACTTCTATACATAACTACTCTGATGTAGCAATACGTATAATCCCAGATATAGAGAGAACTAGACTAGTGACAATTACCGCTATACGGTCCAACTTATGACAGGGTACAAAGTCAGAAGTCTTCTCTAAAATCCTGAAATCTGAAGATAATATAATTTAACTACCTAACAACATAAAGGGTAATGCTTTATTACAAAATTAGTCCCATAATAAGCTCCTTAAACTTGGCTAAGTTTCTGAAACAGTAACATCAAGATGGATGGTAAGCTCCTAGAGATTCGAAAGAAAAAGCTAAGCCCATGGATATACAGTTCACAATTTCTAGATGACATACGGAATCTTCATGATATTTGCTGGCTAACACTCGGAGTGACAATTACCACATCCACGTTCTTCCTTTGGCATTCCATTCTTTTGTCACAGTAACATCAAAGGGGATGTTTTAGCTCTAAGAGATTGGAAGACTTTGTGCAACTACAGCTAATCCTGTATATCTACAAATTCAACAAGTTCCAGGGAGTCTGCTATCTGCTGCCTATCGCTCAGAATGACAATAAGCACATTCATGGTCTTCTTTTGGTCGATAAACTTGTTTGTTGATGTAAGACAGCTTTCTGTGTGTGACTCCAAAACTCTTTTGTGGCACTTGCAATCAACTCTCCACCAAAAAAGGGTTAAGACTGTCATCTTTGCCTAGGAAAAGAAACAGGTTTTTGTGCGAAGAAAAGAAACGAATCCCACAATATATTATCTACATTCACTGACCTCATCATCATCGGCGGCAGCATCGACGTGCCAACCAGCAGCAAATGTAAAAACACAACCAACAGATTTGAAGAAAGCACAGCAATGGCGATGAAATTCCCATTTAAAATATTCACAAAAATAACGAATTTAACAACGTCAAGGTTGTTGCTCCAAACAAATTAAATATTCGCAAAAATACTTTTGTTTAAACAGCAGCTCCTCAACGCGGCTTTCATGTTTAAATTCCAGATACGATTGCAATACAATTACATTAAGACAAATATTGGATTATTGTGTATTTTACAGCATTATTTTAAGGAATGTTGAGACGAAATTAATTAATTTTTTTAGGCATATGTTGTCTTTTGCATATGTCATACAAATGCAATGTTTGCCAAAATGCAATGCGTATGATTCAACAAAAAGAAAACACACACACACATTTCGTTTTTACACTAATCAACAAATTTGTAATGTGTAATAATTATAAACACAACACTTGGGATTTTTTGTCGCCCAGTGTCATAAATATCTCGCAAGAGAAAAAGAACGACAACGACAACAACGAATGTTGCAAGTTTGCCACGTTGATAAGTACCATCCATCCAACCAACCAACAATAACACAACAACAACACAACAGTCAGTAGTAGTACTTGTCCATATACTACTACGGGGGCTCTTGCTGTATTGCTGTACATACATACAACATTAGTATGTACATGTATTTAACCTATATGGACTTTGTTTGCATAGGATTTTCTATTTTTTTGGTCTTTCCAATGTGTGGCACAATTAAAAAATCACAAAAAAAACAACATGAATGTCATTTTCTCTTAGTTTAAACATAATAATCGTTCGAACTACATCGGAAACCATCAATATTTGTCTGGGCCACAAGAATCTTGATTCAACCAAACCCGATGATAACTTGAAAACGTCTAAACTTAGCATGAATCATGCTCAATTAAATTGAAAAAAAAAAAACTTCATAAACCAATCCCAACAAATGCCACATAACTGCAAATCAGTACATATTTCAGAGAATTGTTCAATCAAAATCAAGTTTTTGCCGAAAAAAAACTTGTAGGCTTAATATATAAATACCCGTATATACACATCATCTTTTATGAGAAAAAGGGCGACGGCAACGTATGCAATCTTCCATGTAATTTTCATATTTTTTTCTTATTATTTTTAAAAAATCACTCACTCCAAGAAATTGCATTAGCGTTTTCTTATTCGATTTTTTTTTTTTTAAAAGTAATTGAAAGAATAATTACTTTCCAAATATTCTTTTAGTTTCCATTTTCATTGGATTCGTTTTATTTCTTTTTTTTCATTCGGCTTCACCGCCATGAAAAATGAAAACGATGGCACATATAACTGAATATCCCCAAAAAAAGATAGAATTTTTTAATTTCATTTGGTTTTCTTTATCACTTAATGAAATTACAACGAAATTACGAAAAGAAATTAGCTTCCTGTTATTTACTTACATTTTTCCTGTTGTATTTTATTAACTAAAATGAAAAAAACTAAAAACTTGTCTCGCTTGAAGATTACCGATTACTGTGTGTCGTTTATCGGTTACGTATTTTTTTGTTTGGTTATTCAAATGGATTGAGAGAAAGACAATGACAATAAGAGGTGGCAAACAATCGATGACGAGGGTCGATGGTATCGATATTTTCTTCTTAATGTCAGAGTCGATTGGAAAATATGTAGCATTGTTCCTTTCACATTTTTATAGAAAAAGAATTGAGCTTCTGCCAAGCATTTTTATGGTTTACCTTGTCTAACTTAAGTGCATTGCAAACAAGTTCCTATCTTGGATTTGTTTATATACAATGGATTCATGAATATACATTTTGACTATGAGATGTTGTCAAATATAAATTTAGTTTAAATATGCTTTGTTCCACAACATGCAAGAATTTACTATTTTTGCAATTTTTTCGATATCATAAAGGGAAAATCGGTTATGGTAGTAAAAAGTTTTACATTCTTGCAGTTCTGGAATAGACCAATTGACATACATAATTCAGAGATTGAATAGCAATTCAGTTAAATTTGATAGTGTTTTTCATTTCAAATACGACTATCCATCTCTGCATTTTCTGTAATTTACCTTTCAAATTTTACTGAATAAAAAAGGTTCCTATCTCTGATTACTTTCATTTCATTTCATATAAATATAAATTTTGACAACGAGATGCTGTCAAATGAATAGTTTTAAAAAAGTTGTAATTTACCTTGTCAAATTTCACCACATAGGTTCCATTTTCTGATTTTTGTATATAAAATGGATTTATGAATATAAATTTTGACAATGAGAATATTTTCAAAACCAATGATTGGAAGTCACGTACATTGCGGCTCGCGCGTTAAAGCTATTAACCTGTTTAGTCATGAAATTGAAAGCTTGAATAGTTTGGATCATATATTTGAGTGAAAATCCAGGCATTTCATTCATTTTTCGCGCCTATTTACTAATTCTAAAAATGAGGAAAAATATAAAAAAAGCTGTTCTACCTCCTTATTGTACCATGGCCCGTCCTTTCCAAGTGTCAACCTCGCCCACCCATGGTGACACGTGTTGTCGCAGAAGAGGCACTGGCGAAAACAACATTTATAAATTAATATATATAAATAATATATTTAGATTTCCTCATACGAAGTTGTTTACAATTTCATACGTTTAATCCATAATGGCATGCATTTTGACAACACGGATGATATCAGCTGGTCTTATCGGTCATGGCAGATACCATCGCCAAGACAGCTTGCTACCAAATTTAATGTCAAAATGTATTATTGCGATTGAAATCACCGAACAAAAGGTAAACAAATAGCCAACAAAGTGTAAACAAGTTTTGACATTTCATCTGGTTTTTTAAATTTGCAGGAACACCTTGTGATTACACCATGTTCTCCACATTTGTTCGCTCTACACTGTTTTTTTTTTTCAATAACCAAGGAGTAAATACTAAACCATGTCAAATCAAACGGAAGATTGCTTGCCCTGCCGATTAATAAGTGGATTTGGCGTAATGGGCATGGGGGCGTATATATTTCATCAAGCTGGGCGACGTAAACCCATGGAAAGAAATATCATGAAAATCATATCCATAAGTAAGTTTCAATTTAAATGTTGTGCCAAATCCCCCTAATTCCATTTATTCCATTAAAGGTGCTGTCATGCTGGGTGCTGCTCGGTTATTAAACATGGAGTTTTTAAAATCAACAAAAAGTGACCAGTCATAATTCCAGTTTGCTACAAAACTAATTTGTAAACACATATATTTGTAAATATTATTAAATAAGAAGCTACTATAAAAAAACGGATTCTTAACATTAATCATCATCACTTTCAATGGAGTTATTTCCATCGTCTTCATCCTCGTCTTCTTCATCCCAATGCTTATTCTTTTTGTTAGTCATAAAATCATCTTGCAGCACACTCCATTCGGATTTCTTTTTCTTATTGTCATACTCCTCGTCGCTGCTCTCGTCTTCATTTTTGAGTTCATTCTTGACGGGATTGTCGACAGCTTCGGATTTGGCCCGTTTGCCTCCCATTAACACATCTAAAAATTTACGTTTGTCAATATTTTTCAATACAGCTTCCCGCCGACTATCCAATGGCCCAGCTTCTTCCAACTGATGTTCCAAATCTCTTTGCTGCATGCGTACCGCATTGAATAGTTGAACAACACCCTTGGTGGCCACTTTTCGCAAGGCTCTTTCACGTTCTATATCCTTCCAAGATGGTTTGACACGTAGTTCGAGTTTTTGATTTTTAGGCGGTTTAACATCTTCTGGTTCCTCTTTTTCTTTTTTGATTTCTTCTTTCTTTATTTCACCTTCAATTTCAAAACCATAATCTTCTTTGACTTTTGCCTTATCCTCGGGTTTGATTTTCTTTGCTCGGGATAGTACTAGGGTCTTTTTCGTTTTTGGCTTTGAAGTACTAAGAACTTTAGCTATGGAATCGGCCCAACCGCTGTTACCGGCCTGTTGAGTTTCCCCATCTGATGATGATGCCTCATCCGAGGTGGAATTATCTTCCTGGCTAGCTTCGGAATCTGTAACTGAAAATGAGTGCTAGTGTAAAATATGTTTTTAAAAATGATTCCGTGTTTCCATACCATGCTCTTTGGGCTGTTTTTTCTTTAATCCGAGCAGGGCCATTTGTATATCTGTTCCTTGCGTTGCCTTGTGGGTCAGTCAATGTTTACAAATAAATTCACGTGTATGTGGATACGTCAAATTCAGTAGGGATGAGAAGGTCGAGCATCGACTCATGATAACTGATTAAAGCAAAAAGGTTGCCAAAGCTATTTTTTTATTTCCCTAGTCATGACATTGTTCGAAACGCAGATGCTGCAGGATTTATTTGGAAGGAAGTGTGTTTATGGACATATGCTGTATTTCATAACATTTTTAGTACTGGTTTCCATTCCTCCGAAATAATTAATAACATTAATTTTTTCTCAATTAGTTTAAGTAACTCCGGCTCCTGAAATGTCATTTTTTGCTTTATTCCAGAGCCTGCAAAAATCGACGAATTATGCATTTTTTCCAATGTCATGAAAGAAAATCAGTTATCATACTAAAATTTTTGTAATTGCTCCGTTCCATGACTTGAAGAATTGCTCTGTTCCAGAACCTGCAAGAATCTACTAGGTTTCCTTTATTTCGATATCATAAAAGAACAATCGGTTATTGTACTAAAAAGTTTTACATTTTTGCAGTTTTGGAACACAACACAGTTATCACAATTATCCCATATAATTTTATTCGAATAGTCTATTATCCCTTCCTTCCTTTAGGCCATGGTAGAAGATTAGAGGTAGATGCATCAACGCTAGGGAACATTCATATGTCAAAACATTTTAAATATATTTTCAAATACAAGTAGATTTTTATGTTTTCTTATACGGCGTCATTCGGAGGTTATTATAATACATGTTTTTCAACAATTTATACAAATTTGTATAAGTTTTCATTCAAAATTTTCAATTTTAAAATTAGTTTGACAGTTCATTGTCCTAGCAGCTGTGTCGATGCGTCTACCTATATTCCTCTACCATGCTTTAGGCCATGCTTTTCGGCATTTTGTGTGTGGACATTAACAAATGTTATTGAATTCGCCGTGATTGACCATGGACGTAGCTAAAAATCGATAATTAATTAGGAGGCCAAAATTCGTCCGTAGTCGATTAGATCAAAATCAAACTATAGAACCCTAATCTTATTGGCTTCATTCGCCGGCGTTTTGTGTGTGTGTCTGCCTTGCCTTCATTTCCTCATAAAACTATTGAAATATGTTGAAATTAAAGCTAGAGGCCTTGGAACACCCAACTCCTGATAAATTAGATTATAATGGCAAGTTTTCAAACCTCCATTTGAAATAATCTTCTTGACTAACTGAAACTTATTGCAGATCGAAAAGTTTTTGCTAGCACAGTTTTATGGTTGGAAGACCAGAAGATTCGAACATACAAAATCGAAGACCGTGAACCACTGCGCAGAGTTGATGACACAGTGAAATGGGAGGCCGCTTATGAGCAATATAAACAGGATCTGGGTATGCCAACACTTGAAACACCCCTAGAAGAATTGTCGTGGATACTCAGTTATGCTATACGTTTGGAATTTTTGGATGCTCCTGAAGCCTACAAGGACTTAAGTGGTGAAAAAGTGGCCGAGCAAAGTAGCAAATCCATTAAACCTAGCATACAGAATGAAAACTTTTTCGATAATATGGATTGTAAGTTAATGGAATATATTTGCATTTAAATAAAATTAATTTATTTTTTCCGAATTAGTCCAACACAAAGATTTCATCGCTGGCGTGAGATCTATGGCAGCAAAGCTGAAAGTACCCCATCACCCCAATCATTTGCTGCAATTGGAAGCTATTGCTCGCATTGTCAAAGAACGTATGGCCCCGGATGTTAGAAACCGACCAGCTGTCGTAGGAACACCCTTCCCCTTTGAAAAGGGCAACGATATTGTTGCACCCGATGACAACAGTCTTGATTATCCAGTGAGAATTTTGCGTCTGTTGCAAATTCAAAGTTTGCGAGAGCTACAGACACGCATTAATGAAACCATTGTTGCTGTGCAAAATGTTACAGCCAATCCCAAAACAGATACCAAGCTGGGTAAGGTAGGATTTTAAAGGAAAGGAAGGTTTCTCTGCACATGATATTTATTTAGAAAAACGAGATTGCACATATTTATAACGGCCAATATTTATGAAAATAAGAAATAAAAAACTAAAAATGCATTAAATTACCATGGATATATTTTTTTGTTTAATATATACAGAAGAAAATAAGTATTTTATTTGAATGTACTTCTTACTGGCTAAGTTGCAATATTTTCTGCTTACTTAATAAGCAGCGTATGAATTTGCGAAGGTGCATATATTTGTAATGGATTGGCTGGATATATGGTTATTGGTAAATTCCAGACCATTGTCTCCACTGGTATTTCAGTTGGAGCCTGTAGCTCGCCAACTTCTGGATTTGGCACTCCGAAATCCATCATTGTACTGGTGACAAACTCAAAGTGTAATCTCCACTTAACCTCCACACAATCGGTACGAAAAGATGGTGTAATATGCAGAGGTATGGGTACTACAACTTGAGTCTGCATGGTAGCATAGCTGACCTGATGACTAATGGCATGTGTGGTAACCTTTCCTGTTGGCTCTACATTTGCATCATTGTCCTTAGAGCTAGCTGAAGTGGAAGACTTGTGCATATACTCCGATCCCACACCGCTAGCAACACTGGCCAAATCCAAAGAGTTAACGGACGAGTTGTCATTAAAGTCATTGTTAGAGAATTTATTGTCTGACATATTTAAAAGAATTTCCTGTGATTGTAGTTTCACCGAGAACTGTACACAGCGTACTTTGCAGTTGGCAAAATCCAAACTTCCCACAATATCTTCTCCCAACTTGTAGGACGGTTTAAAAAGGCAAAATCTGCCCACAAATCCACGTTTATTTGATATTCTGTAGAATTTTGGTGCTCGTCTTGCTGTTACATTCTGCAAAGGAAAAATATGTTCGTTTAATTTTTATCAAAACGAAAGCTATTCAGTGCACTACCTTCAAATGATGCCATGATATTTCCAATTCAGTAACTTCTTTCTTTTCTACAAAGGGATTTGTTGGGGCCAATTCATCATTTGTTTCCTCGGTGATTGGTAGTTCATCTGGACGAGCTATCAAGGGTATTGGCAGCACTCGAAGTGGCACGGTCAATGTTTGAACTTTACATTTTACCCTTTGCGTTGCTATGGTCAGTTTATAGAAATACTTGATATCGTGTCCCCGGTACGTTGGAGGTCCATCTCTTGGAATGAGCTCATTGAAAAAATCTAAGAAAATGTGAAGATTACCGGATTTTATTTATATATCCTGTTGCTTATCTTACTTACATATCTTTGATTCATTTGGCTGCAGCTTAAGATCACAAAACAATATTTTTGGTTTTGTGGCTATGACAATATCACCCGGTGCTTGTGTCACAGCATCCAATGCGGTCTTACCCACCATTTCACTCAGCTCCAACATTTTATCTTTGGGTCCAATATTTACATTTGTTTTGCGATAGCAGTGCAATTGCACCGATGCCCAAGCAAGATTTTCCACTGTACTATTGTCAACACCATTATTTGTTGTTGAGGGAATTCTATTGGTAAACTCGATCAGACACTCAACATGTTCACCCGTGGCATATATAGGTGAATCAGCTCTGACCAATTTTGCTTTGATTTCGATCATTTTATGTTTCTCCAATAAGAACTATGTACTTGTTAAACTTGTTAAATATCCATTACAATGAGAATATAATTAAATTTATTAAATATCCATTGCCTGCGTGATGATAACAATGTTGATAATAATCGATAAGACAAGTTCATGGTGCTTCGATAACCGATTTTCCCTTTATGAAATCGAAAAAAAAATTAGAAATTGCTAGATGGATTATGGAACAGACCATGGCATAATTACAAAAGGTAGAACAAAGCTAGCCCCTAAATACAATTTTTCTTTTTGTGCCCTTATGCTAGGAACACAATTGGAGCGAACGACGAATTTCGCCCTACGCGGCGACAAAAAGAGCCGCGAAAATTCGTCGTATGGAACACAATACCGACGAAATTATAAAACAGCTGATGAAGTTGTTTCCTTTTTGCTCATTTGTTGACTACAATGAAAATTATACAAGAACTCATAATTCTTTACGTTCTCTATTATAATTTCAGTTATATCCATCTTCTCTATTATAAATTCACTGATATCCATCTTCACTCAGGTGCAAGTGCACAAATAAATAAACAAATTATTTATGTTTTTTTATACGAATAACAGATAGTAGAGTGACCATAACAAATTTTTAAGTAAAAAGTAACTTTATTTACTAATACACATAAAATTCGTACAAGTATGGCCACCTTGTACTGTTTTGTCGCCGTTCGCCGGCGTATGAAATAGAAATAAAGCTAATTGAGTTCGCGGCGACCGACGAAATTTTCGCCGGCGCCGTGATTGTGTGCACTTCCATATACACATATGGTTTTTATTTTTGACGACGAACATACGCCGCGAAAAAATTCGTCGTTCGCTCCAATTGTGTTCCTAGCATTATTCTGTCAAAACATACACTCATTTTGTGTATTGTTTTGAATAAAAAATATAATAATTTGCAATTATATCAAATTTTATTGCAAAATAAATGCAAATTTTCGACGGAATTGTTAGCAAATGGTACAATTTTGTGATAAAACTGTATAGTTCTACTATTTTTGATTCAATCTTGTGGAATTACCCCGAAATTCCATTCATTTCCCGCGGGGTTTCCCCTATATAAGCATTTTGTCAAAAAGTGAAAAATAAGCAAAACCAACTGTTGCATATTTAAAAATCTATTTGACACTATAAGACTCCAGCACAGAGTTGCATTTTTTTTAGTTTCTTTGAAGTTGAACAACCTCTCTTATTGAGTCATGCATTACACAGCTTTACTATGCATTGATTCCATCAGTTCATTTCATTGAATAATTCATTTGAACTAGTTCATTTCGCTTCCTTTCACTGAATAATTCTTTTGAACTAGTTCATCTTGATGCGACACGGCACTAAACAAAAGATTACAACAACAAGCAATTTTGTAAAAAAAAAACATAAAATATATGTAAATAAACGAAAAAAACGATTGTTGTTGTGAGTCATCTCTATCAATTATACAATAAAATAAAATTGATAAATTGCAAACGAAACAGAAAGGAAAAACAAAATCAAGGGCGAAATAAATGTGCATTTGCTGGGTTGGCGGCGGCTTTTGTTTTCTTTGCTGATTAAATGGCTAGTTTGTTGCCGAATAGAGCTGGAAGTGCATCGGTAAGAAAGTTTATTCTGCAGAAAGAAATCGCATCTGTATTAATTGTTGATTATATTCATTTAGGGTGCTCAGTATATGGATGAGGCTTTTGTCGATTCAAGAATCATGACCGATGTTGAACCGATTTTAGCTTCTTCTGGCGATGGAAATTTCAAGAAACTTCAAACTATACCGGTGTTTAGGTGAGTTGGGAATTATTATTAGGAACATATATTGAAAACTCCTTTTCTTTGTCTAGAGAAAACTGCTAAATGTGATAAAATACTTGTTAGTCATGACTTGGTGGGAATTTTTGTACGCCATTAAGTTTTTAATCCCGTTTGACATAAATTATTGATGTTGGCAGGTCGGAGAGGGAAGAAAAAAAAGAACTTACATTCCAATTTATGAAATGAATGGGGAATAAATTATTCATAACTCACATTCACAGAATTAAGTTTTTACAAGTCCCTGCCTGCACTCGAACAGTTTTGTGAAATAATATGTTTATAGGTGAACGAATTGGAAAACGAATGATTTCAGGAACTTAGACCGGGATGTTCTTTCATGAAGTGTCTCGTTTTCAGTCCGGATTAACATATGAAGATTCGAATGTAAAACTTACCAGTAAATAATTACTTATACTTGGGCGGACCAATCTTATGCCTCTTCCATGAGAAATTCAGTACTCGATCGAGATCCAATAAAAACTAAAGATTCCATAAAATTACATCTTCCATGAGAAATTCAGAACTCAATCGAAATCCAATAAAAAACTAAATGTACAATTAACGTCGGAAGGAAGCCTTAAAAATATCGAATATAGGTCTCTAATATAAAAGTGGTTTAACACCTAGAAGTAGATCTTTATTTGTAACCTATTGGATGGAGGTTGTCTAGTCCTTACAATGACATTCCGGCGGTAAATTGCGGTTACAAATCCGCATCGATGCATACAGTTCTTTATAGGGATATTTTAGGATCTGCTGGGACATAAAGTATATTCGGTTGGAAAATGTGACTAAAACAATGCAAAATCTTCTTGATCATCATGAGGCACCTTTTTTTTTGAGGATATATAATTTCCAATTTAAAAAACTCTGAATGTTTTTTATTTGCAAAAAAAAAATACTCTTTACTGACCTACCCAAATTTGTTTTCTACAAAAATGTGTTGAAATAATACTTATCCTTATCTCTTACAGCATTCATCTATGCGTGTCCGTGATCATTTCTTTTGTGGGCATTGGCTTGGCCGTGTCATGGCCGGAGGAGAAACGTGGCGAAGCCTACTTTATAATGACAAGCTTGCGAGTTGCTTTCTGGCTGGTAACATTTGTAAGTTTAATGGCATTTCTACGGGAAAATGAATAAAATAAAAAAAATGTTCTTTTCTTAATTCCCGCAGCTGTTCGATCATTTAATACGGAAACGTCATAATGATCTGCGTATGAATGGTTATCATGATTTTCATCGTTCCATGGTTATGCACAATGGCATTGCTTTGAATGTTGTGTCGGCATGGAATACCCTGTTGTTGTTGGTTCAAGCATTGCTGCATCACTATTACGGCAATGTAATGTGGAACACTTGGTTTACACCCGTAACGTGTATTGTGTCGTTCCAATTGTCAGAGACGTTCATTTTGATGACAACACATGGATGCTACATGGGTAAGTTGGAAGAGGTTTTTTTTGAACGTCTATATCTATACAGATAGATTTGGTAAAAAAAAATTCTAGGTCAATATCTTCTTTGTATATATGATCTTGAGAATCTCTTCTTTGTACATAACCTACAGGAGGTGATGTAAGAGGCTAAATTAGATTAAATTCAAAAATGAATTGTATGTTTCGATTTGACCTCTTCTCCACTAATGAACATAATCTCCCTAAAATCGAGTCTCCTAACCCATGATTTTATCTAAATTTTCCCCATCGTAATATACATCTGCTGTATACTTTTGAAAATCGAAAATTTCTGGCAAAATTTAGTTTAATCTTTGTTATTCAAAACTGGACTACATATTTTGGAGTTTTTCTACATCACCCTCAAAAAGATCGAAAACTCAAATTACATCTGTTTTGGTGTGAATTTGGGGACGAAACATTCAAAATATTAGAAATCAATATGACATATGACCCATCTCTCGGAGCATACCATTTCCTTCCACGCGAGGAATAAGAAAATACCCACTAAGTCAACGACCACAGTCTTTTTTCCACATTGCCTGCGAAAATGAGAACACAGGTAAAAAAGTCAAGGGAAAGGTAAATTTAATTCCGCTCACGTATCACCCCAAGATTCTAGGGGTCACCTTCGATAGCATGTTCAAGTCGTCCGATTAAGCCACAGCTAAATGCAACAAAATGAAATGTGGGAACATAGCCCTTACGGCACTAGTCGGCAGCACTTGGTGGTGGATACCTTGTTGACCTCTTATGACGCAATAGATTGGTCTGTGGCCCAGTGTGTCTTGCAAATACTAGTACTACGTGTTGGAAGAGTATCTAGACCTGCCAGAACTCTGTCCTGCAAACTGCTTCAGGATGCCTCCTCATGACAGCGGGGGACCATCTTCAAAAGGAGGCGAAGCTTCCTCCCCCATAACCACATGCTATCCTTGCAGTAACTACTTGGGTGTCATCGTAGGAGTCATCCAAGCCACCATATGGTGAGTGAGATTCCCCCAATTAGGCGTGTCAGGAAGGACCTACACGATCTATTCGAACGAATTGAGATAGAAGCTAAAATTTTGCACACGTGTTTATTTTTCGAGTAGGCAGGTTAAGTTCGTAAATGGGCCATGTAGGCCCACGTTTTCATATAGCCCCCATATAAAGGTACCTCCCGATATTGGGTATTTTGATGATTTTAGCGACATTATTCACCGGAATTGTTTCAAATTAGATATTTGAAGTTCGAAATAGATACTACAGCCTCAGACAGAAAATTGTCTGTGCAGGTCCACGTCTTCGTATAGCCCCCATATAACGGTACCTCCCTATATTCGGTATTTTGATGATTTTAGCGACATTATTAACTGGAATTGTTTAAAATTTGGTATTTGAAGTTCGTAATGGATACTACAGCCTATGACAGAAAATTGTCTATGCAGTTCTACGTCTTCGTATAGCCCCCATATAACTGTATCTCCTTATATTCGCTATTTTGATGATTTTAGCGACATTATTCACCGGAATGGTTTCAAATTTGGTATTTAAAGTTCGTAATGGATACTACAGCCTATGACAGAAAATTGTCTATGCAGTTCTACGTCTTCGTATAGCCCCCATATAACTGTATCTCCTTATATTCGCTATTTTGATGATTTTAGCGACATTATTCACCGGAATGGTTTCAAATTTGATATTTGAAGCTCCAAAGGGTTAGACAGCCTAATATAGAAAAATTACTGTGCAGGTCCACGTCTTCGAATAACCCCCATATATCAGTACCTCCCTATATTCGGTATTTTGATGATTTTAGCAACATTATTAACCGGAATTG